TGAAATGAATGTCAAGAGGTGAATGTGCAACTGATGAAATGAATAACAAGAGGTGAATGTGTAACTGATGAAATGAATGTCAAGAGGTGAAGGTGCAACTGATGAAATGAACGTCAAGAGGTGAATTTGGAACTCAAGAAATGAATATCAAAAGGTGAATGTGTAATTAATGAAATAAATAAGAAGAAGGTTTTGCACAACTTATGAAAGTAATATCCTGGGCAGCGCTACCTGTGGCATGCATGACACAAGTTATAAGTGCTCTGCACTCTGCCATTAGAGCTTCAAGCTGTGCGTTATTTTCATGAAGTTTTTGATGGTTGAAACAGATTCGAAAATAATTGTTATTGCATGATTGTGTTTGCTGCCTACAATAAGCTGTTTAATATCACTAGCCGCTATACGAGTGTTGTGGGAAGAGATATATAAATAAAATAGCTTTCGTAATAATGAAAGTGGGCTTAAACATTATGATATTTTATACCAACATTAACCTATCGTTTCTATGTCGATGAATGGCCAAGGCCAATCTATTCAATCAACATTATTGAAATTCTCATTTCATACCGTAAATTTTTACATATATCATAAGTTGCCTTCATTTGTTCCATTTTCTCTGATTTAATTTTTTATAATATGTAGGTATTCAAAGTCAGCGGTTCTGCAACAAGTCTCATGAGTGATCTTGAGTTAGCAAAGGGTTCGAAATAATTTGGTTTCAAGAGCATATTGAAATATCTAAATCTGCCCGTGTCTATGCAATGTTTCAATTCCAATGAGCTTTAATTTTTAAAATACTCTTACGCTTAATTAAACCGAAACGTCACCACCAAACACTGTTGCTTCTGAAATTGGCACCCAAGTTTAAGTATTTTTAACTTCTTGCATTAACCTTGGTTCTCTATTTTTTTGTCTGAATGAATGCTGTTTTGCTGTTTAAATTTCATTCTGTTTATTTTTTACGGTATTTAAATCATTCATCCTTCTCTGTGAAGTTGGACTTAGTGTAAGGCTTAAACTCTCTAAATAATTTTAATCAATTTTTTTCGTTAAATCTGAACCTAAACTTAATTAATCAAAATTTCAAATGACGTGTTCATCGCTCTGATAGTGCGGTTCCTTTATACTGTGCTCGCGAGATTAAGATTAAGTCTATTTCTAATTGCAAAAACAGTTAAATCTCTTACTATGCTTTCCATTTTTTTAACTTCCCATTCCTTCTAATGATTTCTACTATTTTCCCCAATAATTCTTTCTACCAAAAGTGTTTTGGTGACTAATATTGGTTATCTTATCTGGTGACTAATATTTGAATATTAAACACGGTATTTAATCGTAAATAATTAGCACGGCATTCAATCATATTAAACTAACTCGTGATTGAATGACATCAAATCGTATGTTATTACCAAGGCATTAAATCATATATAATTTTTAGTGCCAACCCTTATTTAAGAAGCTAGTGACTGTTCATGGAAAAACGTTAGCCGCAATTCAGATAATGGCGCTCACTTACAGAAATTATTTATCTATTAAGATTCGTTAATTTATCTATTAAGATTCGTTAATGCATTACTAAGAATTACTACCTCTAAAAAACTCTCCATTCAGTATATCAATGATATATCAATTGATATAGCAAAGAAAACAGCTAACAATAGACTGAATATATTAATTCGATGTCCAGGGCAGATAAATTAACTCGAAGCCGTGTCATTTTGCCGTCACTCGATACATATAAACTGATCATTCAGAGAAACAAGTGATGTTTGTTCAAATATCCTTCACGCTGTGAAATACATGTGACTTTTTCCATATTACGATGCACTTTTCGCTCTGTGTGTCACTCTGACCCAGTTGGGCCGCAAAAGGGCGTGGCAGTGCTACGTCCGCTCTCTGCTCGTGTTGTGGGGAAACAAAGTGTGTTAACATTTTGACAATTTGACCCATTCGTTTTGACCCACTCGGTGGCCCAGTGGCTAAAGTTCAGAGTACCAGGATTGACGCACTAGAGAGGCGCGGGTTCAATCCCAGCTCTGTGCGCCAGTTTCTGGTCAGAATCGGCAAGGAGGCCGGGCGGTTAAGCACAGCAGAATAGGAGCAGTGAGTTGCGAAATGCATTACTAAGAATAATTACCTCTAAAAACTCTCCATTCAGTATATCAATGATATATCAATTGATATAGCAAAGAAAACAGTTGGCTATAGACTGAATATATTAATTCAATGTCCAGGGCAGATAAATTAACTTGAAGCCGTGTCATTTGCCGTCACTCAATACGTCTGAACTGATCACTCAGAGAAATGATCTATATTTTGTTCAAATAGCCGTCAGTCTGTGAAATACATGCGACTTTTTCCATATTACGATGCACTTTTCACTTTGTGTGTCACTCTGACCCAGTTTGGCCGCAAAAGGGCGTGTCAGTGACACGTGTGTTAACACTTGGATAATTTGACCCATTCGTTTTTATGCGCCTGTTGATATATGATGCAGCGAAAATGAAATTTACCTGCACCAGTTTAATTCCACCATAACTTCCTTGCAATGATACTTCTTCTTCTTACAAATTATCGATAGGGACGGTCTAGTTTTCGTTATTTGAAGGCTTCCAAAACAATTAAAATTTGATAGCGTCACAATCCTGTGTCAGCAGCTGCAATTCAGTAACTTCTTGACCAACGTTGATTTATCACTCGTTTATACTCTCAGAAAAATAAAGAAACTTGTCCAGATGGCGAGGTTCACTTCTTGCCTCTGTCTAGGCAATCCTGACTCATTTTTGTCCGGCGAATAGGCGTATCAGTGCTACGTGCAGGCAGTGTGTCACTACTTGGACAACATGTCACATTTATTTTTTTGAGTCTGTCTGGTGAAATAAAAATTACTTGTCCAACAAAGTCTTATCAGATTAACCTTAACTCACCACCTCCTCAAAAGATTAACCTTAATTCACCACCTCCTCAAAAGATTAACCACTGATTTCAGCACGAGTTAATTTCTCGTTAAATTAGTTATTAATAGTGTTCAACTCAATGTACTTACGCTGGGGTCATGACTAGTAGTGAGTGTATTGTTTTTTATTTGTAACTTGTGAATATTCTATCCATGGTTGAATTAATACGTATTAATTCAACCATGATTCTATCCTTGCCTGCCGTGCATGGTAAAGATGAAAGGACCTATAGAGTTTGGGGCTCAGTGTGGTCGACGCTGAGCTGATAGCAGGAAGTGCAATAACTGCAGGCGAGAGACCGAGTTTAGATTTGACTACGATTATAGGAGTTCAAATTTATTAAGTCTATTCGTTCAGTTATTTGTTTTTGATAGGGCAAAGTGCACTCAGCAGCTGAAAAATCTGTTTTTTTTTCCAAGGGTGCTCCATAGTAACCTTATAATTGCAATAGTGAATCAAATTTGAAATAATTCAGTTGTGTTTTAAGAATATTAAATATTCGATTATGATAGTACAGGATTAAATGTAATGAAGAATGAAATGATGTAATTAAAGCATATAACAACAATTTCATAAATGCACAAAAATATTGTCTCCTTAAATTAATGATCGTTTAAGCTTACCAGATAATGAAATTTTGGAGATTCGTCGAAGAGCTCTTATATTTCAATTATTTTTCACTTGAAAGGTTAACGAAATTGAATTTTATCATCTGGCATAGCGAAATACGATAGAATCGTTTTCTGCCAAGAACTTCCGAAATTGAATTCAGGTACGGAAGTTCTAAGCATTCATTATACTCAGATTGGATCACTTATGTTGCCTACAAATGTAACCTTTAATTACAAATCACTTTGATCGAGAGAAAAATTAATCAAAGAAACACTACTTCATTTGTCGAACAATACAATTAATCAATGATTACGCGAGTCTGAATCGTGCAATGACTCAGCGGAATCTTTGAATGGTGCAATTTAATTGATTACTTTTGCTTCTTATGTATTTGGAGAAATGCAACGAAACCGAGTCAAATAACACCAAATTGCTAATTTAGAATGAATTTATTATGTTTTTAATTCATTTGAAAGCTTTTATCCAACTTGCCTGTCGCGTGTCAGCCCTGAAGTCATCGATGACATAATATCGACCTTGTAAGACAGTCAATATCGTCTGAGCTACGATTCCTCCATGGCAGAGTATGCGAACCGTTACGATTCCGTTGACGATACACGGATTAGTTAATTATATATTGCAATAATATTCGTTTTATAATGAGTTAATGCGACATTCCCATTTTCACACGATACTAAGATACGTTCATAATTCTGATCATCTTTTTGTGATATTTGACCGTGAAGAAAATGTTTCATTATTTATTGGACTAAGATAATTCGATAAATACCGGTTTATTTACTCTGAAACTAAAATGTAATTTTTAAATGCGAATTATATTTATAATGTGATGTCATGGGCATAGTAAGCGCCATAAGCATACTTGTAAAAGAAGAAATCATTTAAGTTTTTCATGATATTGCTTGATGATAGAAAGTTCTAATGTAAGCCTATCCTCATTAATAGGAACTAAAAAATTTCGAGTGTTAAAATTAGTTGAAGCAACATTCAGTTATCTAACAATAAAAAATCTCGCAATACAGTACTTGCATTTGTGTGCACAACTTCAATCATTTTAAAATAAGTATAATACATACACCATCAATTAAATAATGAATTATATCGTATATACAACATGTTTAAATACACTTGTTGCAGCGTTTATTTAAATACTTGTTGTTATAAAACTTGTTGCAGCGTTCATTTATTTAATATGTTGAAATAAACTTGTTGCAGCGTTTATTTAAAAACTTGTTGTTATAAAACTTGTTGCAGCGTTTATTTATTTAATATGTTGAAATAAACTTGTTGCAGCGTTTATTTAAAAACTTGTTGTTATAAAATTTGTTGCAGCGTTTATTTATATAACATGTTTAAATACATTTTTTGCAGCGTTTGCGTCGTTGGGCGCGCGGACGCAGTGTCCCTCAGGAGCCCCAGAGGCCGGACAGCTTCCTGGAGAAGTTTACGATGGCAGGAGGGGCGGTGAGTGAAGGACAGGACCTCAGGAGGGCCGCCGGCTGCTGCAGGATTAAGGACTTCGCCGACCGCGACTTCACCGTCGACACTTCCAAGGAATTCTACTATAGAGTGAGTGCGAAATAGCGATCACTTTAATTACGGTAATTCAATTGGAGAAAGTGTTGAAATTTATTTTTTTGGTATTATGTTTGATGTTTGTTATTAGTGGGTTATGAAAATGTTATACGTTCTTTACGTTTCTCATTACATCTACATTAAAAATCTTATGTACATATTTCATTTGTATTTTATAAATATCACTAATGATCAGATGTTATGAAAATCATAGGCATTCATTCAAGCGCCGAAATCTTTTGATGGAACGTAAATAGGTTGGTCCGATGGAGCTGTATGCGTGTACATATTAATTAGTTGCTGTTTTACTTATGTCGTTGTTGTCTTTGGTGATGTGACTGACAGTGTCGTATATATTCAGTCTACCACATATACGACGCAAATAAAACTCCATATATATACATTCATTGTGTCTAAACTAACAATCTTATTGCCGCATGTCCCATCGTGCCGCATGGAAACCATACATATCTTGATAATAATTATGTTTAAAATCGATCAAAATTAAAGAAATTCCGACGTTGCAGTGGTTATGCGTGATGATGATGACGCTGGTCTACAACCTTATCATGATCATCGGCCGAGCTGTGTTCTGGGAGCTGCAGAACGTCTTGCCTTCAATATGGTATTTCCTGGACTACACTTGTGACGTCATCTACATCCTTGACATGGCCGTTCGTGTCAATGAAGGTACGAACTTCTATCAATTACCAATATGATAAGCTACATTTTTTTAACCGAACCTGTGCCTAATCAAAGGATTAGTCTGAAGTTGATTAGTCTGCGTAACGCTCTTGAGTTATTAATTACTAATTGGTATAGTCACCAGGAAATTTGACTTGTGAGTGCGTTGTATATACAAAACCCTTGGAACAAATCACCGAAATATTTATAATCACAACGGGAGTTTAGCGACAGATAACAGTGGAGCAGTTCATTATAAAGACGGTTAGTAGTTAAGTAGATACTATAGGTTGGTATATAAATCTTGCAAAGAATTTAGAGAAAGGAAATACAGCACAAAATTAACCGATTATCGCGACGAGATTGGCTTTTCACGTAAACCATAGCGGCACCAATCCGTTATTCTGCCCTTGTTTCTCGCTGATAATTTTTAATGACAATAACTGAAGCAAAATCCAGAAAAGTTGTGCAGCGAAAATATTTACTGCAAGAAATGCTTGAAGAACAATTTTTATTTGCACAAGGACACCCTCGTGATCGATCTAGCTGTAAATAATCGATAATAATAATAATAACGAACGATCTTACATACATTACTCATTATTATCTTATAATAATGAGCAATAATCGCAAATAAATTTCTCATTGCAGGTTACCTGGAGCAAGGCCTGCTGGTGCGAGATCGTAAGAAGCTCCTAAGGAATTACTTGCGGTCGAACGTGTTCAAGTTAGACGTGATATCCATCTTGCCTACAGATATTGCCTACATCTTCATAGGCCTACGATGTGATCAACGTGTGCCTTGTCCAGTTCTCGTCAGGTTAAACAGACTTTTTAGGTTTGTAGACTAACGCAAATTTAATTATTTTTTCTTAATAATTTATTTATTCAGATATTGATAGTAATTTTTTTTTCTTCAGTACAAGTGTGGTTTAATTGAACTAGAACTTTAGGCGAACAAATTTGTAAATTCTTAAAATCTCTAATTTTTTACAGTTTTACGTTAGCTGGTATACATAAACCCTTACTTTATTTCAAATATCGTTTCATCTAAACTTAAATTGAAAGAAGGGCCGCATAAAAATGAATAAAAAAAAAACAACAACAAAATCAAACAAAATTTAATTTGTTCTAACAATTTTCAAAAGTAACAACTTCACGTGAAACAAAAAATTTCTCCACGTAACAAATTCAATTCTCTCAGAATACCGCGCATGGGCGAATTCTTCGAGAAAACGGAGACGCTAACCAACTACCCTAACGTGTTCCGCATCTGCAAGATAGTTTTCTACATCCTCGTCATCATCCACTGGAACGCCTGTCTTTACTTCGCCATTTCGTTCGCTATCGGCTTCGGCTCCGACAAATGGGTGTACAGGAACCTAACTATCGACAATAATCACCTCTTCTCCCGCCAGTATATTTACAGGTGACCTTTGAGCCCCAAATTTTGTTTGGACTCCGAATTTAGTTCATAACGAAAATATTGTTTGTACACGAATTTTTTTTGGTAATCAAAATGCTTTTGTGCCCAAAATATTATTTGTGCCCAAATTCTCACTGGCAACAAAATAAACATCCTACAAGGAAATACAGAGCTGGAGATTTGTTCGATTTTTTACTATCAGAGTGCAGCATGTGTATGCTATTCTTTTTCGCATAAAAATTTTGTTTACTACGCAGTTGATGAATGCTTGAAAGGAGAATGTCTTACTGTATTTATATTGTTGGCAACGTTAGTGGTAGCAGGGCCTCAAGTCCAGCTTATATCCTTCAGTTTGAGTCGACGCCCAACAT